CGCAATAACACCTCGTAGTTAAGCCCTTCCAGATTGTCGATATCTATTTCGTATCTATATCTCTCAGCGTACTGTCGTATTGTAATTTCTGTGTCTTCGACTGTAATTATCACTCGTTGGATACTCACGGCATCTTCGTTGTCGGATTCCATCAACGCCGTCCATTTCAGTATGTCGATGCATGTAAAATGAAGTGGAGTGCCGCGCATCCACGGACCACTGTTAGGTTTCATTTTGGAAATGGCGATGGCCGCCAGGCACCAAAGTTCAAGCCGTGTGTTTTCCTTTAATGTTTGCGATTTATTAACGCTCAACCCATCCGGAAGGAGTGCATCGCCTATGATGTCTTTGAACTTGTTCTTCATGTCATTTTGAATGTGACCAACAACGAATTGGCCAACGGCGTTGCGCGCGTCATACTAGTAACTGTCGTTCGGTGCTTGAATAGGACCGCAAAAAAATAAATACAGCCTCATCAACGGTTTAATGTCGAGTTTATGTTGGAGCAACAAAGTAATGGAATTGTTCAGTAAATTTTGTTTTATCGATATCAAGTCGACGAATTTCGATAGTGGATAAGTTTTATTGGTATTGTCCATTCGTAAACAGTTGATTAAATGTCGTTTTAGAATACTGAAAAGGTTTTCGCGAAACTCCACAATGTCTATATTCTCATACTAAATTTCGTCCGGCTCACCGAATTCTAATATTGATTTTTTGGCGTTCAGTTTGGTTATTACATTTTTAAAAAAAATCCCATTAGATCCGTATAGAAGTAGGCTTCGTGCGAGTGATGGCGCTATTAAGGACGTAAAAGCTGCGGTATCGACCACTACTGTTCTGGGATAGCGTTAATATCTACTTCAGCAGGTGCCACCAAAATTATACGTTTAAATAGCTAAAGAAAACCATTTTTTAAACAGTTTAAAACAACACTATTAGGTTGTTTATATTACTTCGTAATTTTCTGAAATGCGAACGGCAGTAACACGTATATACACTATCGGTCTGGGATCAAATTTTAACAACTGCCATGATAGGGTAGACTCCTTAGATTTATCTACAATAATATCCCAATCTTCATCATTGACCGAAACATGAATAGTGTAACCACAGGCTCGGCTTTCGCCACAATTAAGCAGCATCCTATAAATAATTATAATACTCCTGATCTTATTGCCAGAGTCGACCATAAATTATTTTTTAAACAATAAAAAGTTGTATTCCAGGCGTAAACAATATAACAAATAAATAATAAAAACCAAAGTACATGTTAAATGTTATTTAAGCGATTACCTCATTGAACTAAGCATATACGGTTGGGCGAGTTGAATTTGTAAACATTCTGGTTGACTTATGACTATGGACCAATCCATAGATGGTAAAGTAACATTGTACTTTGGTGCTAATAGGATTTAAATCAGTACATTAGACAAATATGTTTTTGTTTTATATTAATCAGTGAATGAGTACGTATTGTCCTTACCCACTAATCCGTTTTTGATTTCTACCAAGTGCAATTTTTCCGTATTGTACATGACTTTCAAAAAGTTAAAACTCTTATTACTAGTATTATTGGTGCCAACAATACGGATGTACCTAACAAATCTTCGGTTAATCCATAAACGTTGAATTGACCGACAATGATAATTTGAATGATCTATCACACGCAACCAATTGTGGCTATCCATCGATACTTGAATGTAATAAGTGTAAGATCTAAATAATCAAATAATTCGATCAAATGAACGGTCGTGTATTTTTTTATAAACAAAGTTATAAAAGGGAAATTATTTTTAAATAGTTCGGTGCTTAAACAACATATTTTTGATTATGGATAAAAAAACTATATTTTTTTGAGAATAAATTCAATTCGCGAATAAACAAAATTATGATTATTGTATGATATTATTTGTGATAAAAATATATATTAGTTCACATTTTTTTTAAAATAAAATTACATTAAATCTTTGATTAGAAATATTGATAAGTGAACCATACTTTGCTTGTTTGTCGCTTAACTCCATTTCAATATAGTTTATTTTCGATGGATGATCCAACGTGATCATGGTACCGCCATCAATTTGAAAAAGCTCTTTGGGTGTATCTTCAGCGAAATTCACATTAGGTTCTAAAGAATATAGTAATTGGTACTAACATAATTTGCTAAATAAATAGTTGCAATAGGCATACCTAGTCGTCCTCGACCATTCAATGCTTGTGGGAGGGATTCTATACTCAATTTGATGACATCCAAAATACTCGAATCCGAACTAACCAGCTCTGATCGCCTAACTTCGGACAGCTCTTCATCATCCATAAGCTGATATCTGACTGCTGATAAAATTTTGGTTTTAGCTTCAGCATCAATTTCGTCTTTTTTTTTTTTATCCAGCGACAAACCGCACGGAATATATCCAAATCATTAACATACACCATGTCACGATTAAGAATTAGAAGTAGTGCTTCCTAAAAAAAAAAAATTTCTGTCACAACTGGTTACCTAACACGAGCAATACTGATATTTAATATGGAAATATCGTTACGGGCGTCAAAGAAAAGGAATCTTCAGATTGCAATACATCCAAAGCTAGAATGTCGATAAAATTAAGTGATTCGATTACGAGTTCTTTGATTTGATAGTAAAGTCCCACAACAAACAACGAACTTGCATTGTGTTCATCGATTTTACTCAGTAAATACTCGGACAGTGAAAATTGTAAGTTTGAAAAGCGATATACATTCGAGAGAATTAATAATTCCACAATAACTTTACTCTAAAAATTTTTAATAAAACATGTGTATTTGGACAATCGTTTTCTGAATAATATTTTTTTTTCCAATTTAACACATAAATTACAACCGATTGACCGAACGATCCTTAAAAAAACGCACAACGTTGAAAAAGGTACTTTTTTGGTCTTTAAATACCGGTCATCTAAGTCGACTATAATTTACCTCTAGAGTACTTAAATCCACTCTACCAGAATAAATATATTTAAGGAGAACATTGACTGAGGTTGCTGATCCTTCTTTTATTGGCACCTCCTTTAGACGGGAATCTTTATGATCTCCAAACAGCAATGCGCTAAAAAATATACACAATATTAGTACAAAAATGCATTATATTCGCTATTTAAAAAAATTAAATTGACAAATTTGTATGTGTTGTGCTTATTAGGGTATTATTACTAAGAGAATACTAGAAAAAACTGTTAAGCAAACTTATGGTTAAATATATAGTAAACATATAAAATCTACTTGAACCCTAAACCATAAAACAAGGTTAACAAGGTTATTACCTTGTTAAACTGAAAACACTTGTCAAACATAGTCGGAATAAGTACTATATTATTTCTATATTATAACAAAATTTTAGAAAACAAAATCAAGACGCGACGCTTAAAGGTATCTTTTGTTGTTTTCGGATCGGGTTCCAAATTTAAGTACACAACTCGCAGACGAGCAAAAATGAAAAATTAACGTCGGCCTGTTCCGAAATAGACTCTCTTGGTGATGTAAACCTGCGCGCCTAAGTTGCAATGGGATGGCGACCGGACGCTATTCCGTCTCGGTTCAGATGAAACCACTCCAACTACCGGAGACCGTGAACAAAAATTAGATATGTATAATATATATATATACAGGTATATTAATAATATTATGTGCTTTATAATAACACATAATAAACGCTGAATGTACCGTAATGGCTTGCCACCGAGCAATCGTCATCGCGGTCGTCGTACCTCTGCGGTTGTTTCTCGTTTGGGTTTTTTATTCTATTATTTTTTATTACCACTAAAAAACACCTACGACGATATTAGAGTAACTACAGTGGAGCACACGGAATTAGAGGACGGGAAGAAGACGTTAACCGAAGCGACGGGCGAGCAGCACCTACATTCGGGGTTGGTCATGCGGTGTTGGACCGGTCACGGTCTGGCGGTCCAAACGATAATAATATTATATACTTAAGGGTATTAAAAATAAGAAAAAAAAACTCCTAAGAACGTGAACGTGTACCGCAACGGGGCGTTTGCACAGACGTTTGTTTACTCAACTTATAGTTAAGAAAAACAAAACCACCATCTTGAATTTTTAATTCCTCTTAGGCAGTGTCCCTTGTATATGGGTTTTGGAGAGTTTTTATGTAGTGGAGACCGTATCGAATGAGTAAAAGTGTACATAATATCATACTTAATTTCAAAATCACGAGCAAAAATGTCATTTTCATGTTTTAATTGCAACATTTTCGTTAAAAATAATGTTTTAAAAGTTTTGTAATAAACTTTTTTAAACTAACTACAGGTATTTTAAGTTGACTAATAATTATTATATTCAAAAACCGAGTGAATACTGTAATTTCCGGAATTTATTTCGTCGTTAAAGTTAAATGTTTAAAACATTAACAATTGTAAAAACATCAGTCTTGTAATGAAATATGTTTGATCTAACGAAAACACTCGATCTAGATTAAACAAATTGTTGTCTTCTAATTAGTTTATTGTACATTATAATATAATATTTTGTTTAAAATACAATGGTTTTTTTTTCTCCGATTGGTACACACCGAGTAGCATCGCTGTATTATTTCAAAATATATATATCGACTGGCGCCTACAATACAAAAACATTTGTACTAACAAAAAATATACGAAGGTTATGAGTCACATACGAACATAACTGTTCGTTTACTAACACATAGCAAGCCTGGATATACTATATTATATTTTAAGGCAGTTTCAATAGATTTTGAAGAAAAATGGACAAATAATAGGAACTTTTGGTGATGTCTTTTTTAATGTTGGTTAGGCAGTTAAAGCATCTGCGTCTAAAAACACATAAAAAAACTATAATGGTAAACATAATAACGTAAACCAATACCCTTTTAGCTGTATATCCAAACAAAAAACACTTGTGGTAAATAAAGTAAAATATTTTCAAAATAGTATGTTATTCAAATCTGTACCCAACAAAGCAATAAACCGTACAGAGTTTCCGTTTATTATGATTGCTAGTTTATAACTGTTCGGATCTATTATAGATTTTATAAAACTTTATTATCATATTGTACTGTATCATATTGGAAAATAATATTACGAAAATGATTTCCACAAAGTGTTGTGTCCTATTTGTTATTTTCATATTCCAACATAAGATGCTCATGTGCGACGATAATCATAAAGAAGAACGTGAAAAACTACTAACACAGTTGAAACAAGTGAGTAAACTTAATACTGGATATAAGACGCAGAACGATGAGTTAGCAGTAACCGATTTCACTAGTTTATCTAATGAAAACCTAAGGCAAGCAATAACATCCAGATTCGACCAACTGAAATTCAGTTATCTTTTCAGTGCGCATTATCATTTTTCAATAGTAGACCAAATTTTTCAAGCAGCAGACGATTCTTTACTAGTAACAGATTTGATTTCATTCTTAGACGAATCCGTGAAAATGGTTAGTACTTTTATAGATGTAAAAGGAATACAGGTGTCAGAAGTATGGTTAGTTTACAATCACACAATAACCATGAGCAAATGCTTTCAATTACCTTTGATAAAAAGGTGGATACAATGCGGTATTCGGAAAAGTATAATGCATCAAAATAATTTCGTTGTCACTGAACTCAACAAATATCTGGAGACTAATAATTGTTACGGTGAAAATAATTTCATCATAAATTCTGGAAAGTTAGTTACATATGATCATAGCGCACGTAAGTTAATTCTTGATAATAAAACTTTGCTAAATCAATTACACAAGGGCAATCTGGAAAATGGCCTTAAAAGTTTTATCAACCCAAACATTAATGAAGCATTTTTAAAAACCGCAATCGAAGAAATATATATTAAATTTCTAATCCGTTTTAGAACATATGCATCTTGTTATGTATATGAATATAATTGGAATATATTGAATCAAGCAATGAAGCCTTATTTAGAGTTTCCTAAACATCATGGTTTCAAAGGATTACTCATGTTTGGAAAACTTAATTTAATGATTATTGACATATTAAGATTTGTATTGTTGCGAACCACATGGCAATTCTTAATTCAATTAAATAATATAATTAAGAACAACTATAACCCGTATGTTCATTGTACTACCGGATTAAAAGAAAGCGTCAATTCTTATATAAGAGATTTTCAATTGATATTACAAAACGGTATTGATTTGTTAAATTTAAATGATGACGATATCTTCCATGAACTCAATACTATCTTAAAAAAAGGTATAGACCATTATAATCATTTTAACCAAGACATTATGGTTGAAAAAATTAAAAATGAATATAATAGAGTATCCACTATTTTAGGTCTGCATCCATTAGAATATATGGAACCATCAAACTTTATTCAATACCATTTAAGTACAGCAAAAGGATTTATTAATGAGACTAAACGCTACATTGGAGATTCGCTCGAGTTTAAATTATATCAATCATACTTGAAGTTTATCAGAGACTATAGCGATCGTATTTCGATGTTTTTGAATCCTAAAACTGTTGAAAAACCCGTTTAAACGTTGTTTTTTAACTGCTATGATCTATGCATTTTATTAAATGGTATTAAAAATAATTATTGAAATGTTTTGTAATTAACTTTTTTAAATTAAATTTCCCTTTTTTTGGTTGACTTATTATTATATTCAAAAACAGTGTGAATACCGTAATTTTAGGAGTATTTTTCGTCGTTTTAGTTAAATTTTTAAAACAATAGCAATTGTTAAAAACATAAGTCTTGTAATGAAATATGTTTAGTTTGCAAATTTTTCCTATGTAATTGTTGTATTGTACAATGGTAATAAAATATTTCGTTTGAAACAATTGTTTATTTTTATTTACTCGACAAATGGTACACACCGTAAGTCTATGCATCCATTTGTTGACTAATTATTATATTCAAAAACATAAAGAATACCGTATTTTTTGGAAATTAATTTCAGCATTAAAGTTAAGTTTTTATAACAATAACAATTGTTAAAAAAACATAAGTCTTACGATTAATTATGTTTGATGAAAATTGTTTTCATCCAATTAATGTATTATGCAATGTTAATAAAATATTTAGTTTAAAACACAATCGTTTGTATTTATTTGTTCGACAAATGGTACACACTAAAAGTCTATGCATCCATTTATTTATCTTTTTTATTTTGTAGCTTCAGCCCAACATGTGTAAATGAGTAAAATATATTATTTTTATATTATTCATTTTTATGTTGCTTTTAGTCGGAATACTGTATAATACTTTTATAATATTGATATTAAACACATATGGCTCTGGCACGTTTTTTAAAGAGCCTTACAAAGTTGTGAAAAACTTCTGAGTTCTGTACTTTTGTATAGTTATCTAAAAAGTTGTTACAATATAAGTTTCAAGTTATTTGAATTACATTTTCTTTATTAATTCAAAACTTGTTAAAAATGTTTTACTTTATATATTATGCTCTTAACCGTCCGATAAGTTATACTTTATACACACATTAATAGGTACAGGCATTGACTGATAAGCATGGAGTTTTTTATGAACTTTTTCTTATTGTACATTTTTTAAGTCTAACAAAAAAAAAAGACTCTTCATATTTGCCATCTCCCCCCCGGGGAATAGTAGGGTCAGGACATAGTGTTAAAGGGGTTGTCACCTGATTACAGGAACTATTACAACTATAAAGTGATCAATTCACTTTCAAATTAAGGATTTATTAAAATAATTAATTTTTTTTTTCATCATTTATAACGCATATAGGATCTATTTTTTGAAAAAACACGTTTCTACTTCGATCAGAACTTACGTAAAAATACTCTAGTTTAAGTCTTGAATAACATTAGAATTCCTAGAAAACTCAAATAGAAGTATACTTAGCAGTTAATTTTAACCAAAAATACCCAGTTGTTGACGCCCGTTAAAGGTACTATATATTTTTAAGCAATTTCAATCGTTTTTAAAGTAAAATAGAGGAATTATAGGAACTTTTGGGGATGTGTTGTCGGTAAAAAGGTTAGAACATCTGCGTCCAAAAACACATAAAAAAACTATAATGGTAAACATAATAACGTAATACCCTTTTAGCTATGTATCGGAACAAAAAACACTTGAAGTAAAATATTTTCAAAATAGTATGTTATTCAATTCTGTACCCAACAAAGCAAAAAACCGTACAGAGTTCCCGTTTATTACGATTGCTAGTTTATAACTGTTCGGATCTATTATAGATTTTTAAAAAACTTTATTATCATATTGTACTGTATCATATTGGAAAATAATATTACGAAAATGATTTCCACAAAGTGTTGTGTCCTATTTGTTATTTTCATATTCCAACATAAGATAAAATATACTTAAAGGGGAGTCTAAGTGTTACATCAATTGTGGGGAAAACGAGAGATAGGGTTGAGATAGTAGTTCAGTGAGAGTTGTGATGAAGATATGAATGTAGAAGCAAAGAGAGGAAACGAAGGTGTAGGACTAGGGTGGCCGACCGAGATGACAGAACGTGAAACACTACCCCGCCTAAGAATCATTTGTATTTTTACAATTAATTCTCTTTAGAATCATTAATATTTTTTTCCCTCATAAAGTCAGTTCATCCTATGAAGTCTGCTGTGTGAATCTCAGATCTGATCTTTTGTATTTATCGCTATATAGTTGTGTTATTATGTAACTATTGTTTTTGGCGGCAGGCCGTTACCTGAGGTTTAAAAATAGAGCGTAATGCGCGATTATAAAAATAATTACATTTTTTTACTTCGTGTGTTGCAAAGAATTCCGTTCAAAGAGTGTATATTTCCATACTGCAATGTGTTGTTGTTTGGTGCATCGATTAATCTTGTCGGAGGACGGTACAAATTAATATATAGAACGCTGGCGTACATTATTTTTGAACATAAAAACCTGGCACAGGACACCGACTTGTGTTGAAAACAACTCTGTCCATGATATATATATCTCATTATACCAGTAACCCAATAAAAAAACATCAAACAAAATAATATACTTTATTGGACACGGAAAAAAGCTGTAAACAATTAACGAGATGTCAAGAGACGGATTAAGAACCCGCCAAAAAAAGTCTTGTCCGAAAAGCCACAAAATAATATATGTAAGTTTGGATCGTTTGTATATTATTATAACTATTATATGGCTGTCGTCGTTCGCTACAAATAAAGACTGTTCTAACCCTTTTTATTGCTTAGAACTGGCTTCGTTTTTTTGTTTCTCGAGAAATTATAATTAATTTGGGCTTATAAAACATAAGAGT